GACCTTCCTGCATCCAGCATGAGCTCATCATCCGTCTCGCGCGTACAAATTATAGCAAAGGTAAGTACATTCTTCACACATAGAGGACCATACTTTTTTCCGTTGATTCTGAAAGCCACTTACCTGCTGCAGCATTACAATACCAAGACAGTCATGGAATACTGACCACTTCTCATTTTCCTCCATCACAACTCGCCCTCTCTCGCTTTTTATGAAAAGTGATCGCGCTCTATACCCATACGTTATTTTTTATGATGATACTAAAAAGGTGGACGCAGTCATTCGGACCCGAAACTTTGCGAACATACGAAGTTTACACGTAATAAACCTTCAGCATACAAAGAGAACAGTAAGAATTTAGTCTAAGAAAATATCTGACAAAAATACATACAAATAGACAGCTGGTTGGTGAACAAACTCATTTCTATTTCTCAAACTGAAAATTCCCCAGATAATGGATAAGTGAAAAATAGCAACGAGCAAGGATATGCACAGATTTACCGCTTGAACTTTTTGAAGAAACAATCCTAAGCAACTGAAGGGGCTTAACATGAGGTGAGGGCCCAGAAGCGGGAGAAGACAAAAGCCTAGATCCCAACGTACATATCCCAGCAACTTAAAACCGCGAAACTAACAATTTAGAGATTAAGGATGAGACTGAGTACAAAGGCTTCTCTCGCTTCTCGCTGATTTCCGTACTTCCATTCACTTAATATCCTGCACGTACACGATTTTGAAATATTCGGGTTCGTGAAGCAAGTTCTATCTGGTGCACAGCTGATGGGACGAGAGATGGGCAGCTCCTCAACAAAGGGAAAGACTGATAAAGAGAGGCACAATTCAGTGAAAAAAGAAAGGAAGAGAGAAAGGGAAATCAGTGATAGGCGGTGTACGGGCAGAAAGAGAGAGAGAGAAAAATATGTATATGTTGATTTTAATCAGCTTTAGGATAAGCTTTAAAAAAAGCCGTTGAAGCAGTGCGATGTCACTCTGAAGCAGGGAAGTGATGCGTGGTGGCGGAACGCGTTCACTTCATAACGAAACACAACCGTGTTCCTGCCATCTGCTTTATAAACACAGGAAGAATTATTCATTTCATTGTCGAAAATTACTTTCCGACTAACACTACGGCTGCTAAGCGAATCGCAGCTTTATTCGCTTCAAAAAGCCGAAATGTCACTTAAGCGACGCATCACGCCACCTAACCTTTGCTACTTCACGAGCCGACAAATAGGCTGCTGTCGAAGCTCCCTTTTATTTTGATGCATATCCCTGAAAGTGACTCGAGTGACAGCACTCGGACAGCTTCAAAAAGCAACCAAGATCTGCCAAAGCTCTTTCTTCTTGGAAATGCTTGTGAAACAACCTGGAGGATCCTGGCACGACAACACGCTAGTGTTAGCTTAAAATTGATGTAAAACTAGTCGTTGTATTCAAAAAAAAAAAAAACAAATCGACATAAATCAAAATCCTTTTCAGGAGTTTGACGTGAGTAAAATGAAAGCGAAAGCATACTGTGCGATCAGAAAAAGAGGACGGAGCGGTAAAAGTGGCAAAGAAACAAAAATTGGGGTAAAAAAGGGGAAAATTCTCGAGCTGGAAAAACACCGAATGTAAGATGTAGTTGCAGTTAGGGGAAAAAGCTAAAGCTCAGTGAACGACACACGTGGTCGCTGTTGTGCTGGTCAAACAGCACTGGGCCTAGTATTTGCAAAAAAAGATGAGAATACATACAATCGAAATTCAACTGGAAGTTATGTATAGATGAGCAGAGATATGACGTAAGCTGCATTAAAATTTTTTCATACAATGAAAGATCAAATCAGTTTGCGGTCTGTGTTTCATCTCTTAGCTGCACACACAAAAGTAAACTGGACGTTAGTGGGAACGGGAATCATAAGAAACTGAATTTTTAAGAGAAGGATCATGCTACGGCCAATCTGTACGGGTGCATCTTGCAACGGATTTGGGACGAAATCTGGGCGATTTTAAAAGAAAATTCGAAAAGAAATTATCTATTTGAAAGCGTTCTTGTTTTAATCGTTGTCTTTTCCCAGTCAGAACAGCGATTCTGGCTGGGAAAAAGACAGTGATCAAGGCAAGAACGAGTTCACACAAGTCATTTCAGACGGCGAAAAATATCGTAGACTGTAATTAGCTACCTTGTGGATACATTGGTTGTTGTTGTTGTTGTTGCGATTGTTGGGTAGAAGACCGTTGCTGTGCCGGCCGTAGCGACGATGTGTCGCCCTGCTGCATGCCAAGCGGAGCTGTAGCAGTGATTGTAGT